CCATGGTATTTTCAGCCGCCTCATGTGCATGTGAAAGCTGAACAATGAACAAGGAAGACTGCAGAAGAGTTGGTGCTTTTGAGTTGTGTTGGCGAAGAGTGCTGAGTACCATGGACTGCCAGAAGAACGAACAAATCTGTCCTGGACCAAACGCAGCCAGATTGCTTCTTGGAAGCGAGAGTGGCCAGACTTCGTCTCACTTACTTTGGTCATGTTGTCAGAAAGAATCATTCCCTGGAGAAGAATATCATGCTTGGTAAAGTGGAGGGTCAGCGAAAAAGCGGAAGGCTCAACGAATTAGACTGACACAGTGGCTGCAAGGACAGGCTCAAGTGTAGCAAAGATTGTGAGGCTGGCACAGGACCGGGCAGTGTTTTGTTCTCTTGTACACAGGGTCGCTATGAGTTGGAGCCATCTTGATGGCAACTAACAACAACATGAAGATTTATATTGTTGCAAACCAAAAGGAGACTTCACCTGTGACAGAAGAAAAATTCACAAATCAACCAATAGGTGGCAGTATAATCTGATGTTTTTGAAATTTTAAGTAATTAGCAAATATTGATGGTGATACCAGATACTGTTTGGTGCTATGCTACATGATCAAGTCACACAAAATGCTCTTCATTCAGGTTATATTCAGATTCAAGGGAAAACTCAAACTTCCTTTCTCTGTGTCAGTCCACTGGAGATAAGTAAGTAGGGCAGTAGAAGTATGTCAAAGTGGAGAAAGAGAAAGAGGGAGGGACAGAGAAAGAGACTCTCAAGAAGGTCGAATTATCATACCGCAAAAACTAAACCCGGTGCTGTCTATTCTGTCTCATAACAGACTGACCTATCTGTCCTTCTTATTTATTTGAATTCAGCTCAAAATTCACCCCTGGAATCCTCAGACATCAGTCTAATTCAGATGCTGGCGAGTCCTCTAGGCATACATTGGTCATGGTGCTGACACACTGATAGTATGACAGCTGATAGCCATGCCCATGGCTACACTGGGCTATGAAATGCTTGAAGACAGGAAATATTGTTTATCTTTGACTGCTTCACGGGGCAGATTACCCAATAAGCAGGGCAAACAATGGCTTGTTTGAGCTTACTTACTAATCTGTAGTGAACAAAACTCACATGAAATTGTTCACTACAGGACAGTGTGTAAGTACAAGTACGCTCTGCTTACCTTGCCTACTGGGGACTCCATCCCTGTCAGAGATTGTAAATTTGAACAACAACAACAACAAAAAAAAAACCCAAACTCAATACCATTGAGTTGATTCTGACTCGGTGACCCTCTTTAGGTTTCTGAGGAGGTAAATCTTTATAGAAGTAGATTGCCCAGTCTTCCTTCTACAAAGTGGCTGGTGGGTTTGAACCACCAACCTTCTGGTTAGGAGTCAAATGCCTTAGGCACGACACCAGCAGAGCTCCTTTGTAAATTTGAAAAGAGGCTTTAATTCTATAGGACGGTCCTGTAGGGTTGGGAGAGAGACAGACGCCAGCCATACTTAGAAGCAGAGTCTTTGTTGTGGTGAAAAAATGTGAAATTATTCACTATAGATTAATAAGCAAGCACAAGTAAGCCTGTGCTTATCTTGCTTATTGGTAATCTGACACTACTACTCCAGCACTAGTACCTGGGCCACTGCCTCACTCAGAGAAGGAATCAAATGAACATCGGTGGGTGAATGATGGAATGTGTGTATGAGAGGTCATTGATCATGCCTCACACTTTTTATCTACTTTTAGGAAGAGAAGTACTATCGATATCTGTTCTAATGAGAAATTCCATTTTCTTCTTTATATGTATTCTGAGGGGAAACTCATTGTTTCCCTTTAATAAATGTTAGAAGAAAATCAGATGAAGAAAATGTGAAGTAAATAAACAGGAAGCAGCAATGGTAGTTGGAATAGTTTGATGCTAAGGGAGAGAAGGTATCTTTAAGTTCTAACCATGTGCTTGACATAAATACTAGGTTTTACATGTATTCTTATCTAATCCTTACAATAGTACTGTGACCCAATTACTGTTATTAAGCCCATTTTATAGATGAGAAAATGAGGTTTAGAGAAGTTAATTTGCCCAAAGACTTTAACTCGTTTGACTGGATTTTCCTTCCGTAACTAATTTTTCTCATGCACTTACCACACACTGAATCTCAGGGTTAAGCAACTTGCACAAGATTGCACACTTGGAAAGAGTAGGACTCAAATCCAGGCCCATGGAACGCTAGAGTCCATGTGCCGTTTTCTCATCACAGCTATGTTTACAGAGTTCCGGAGGCTCATGTCACTTTCCTGCTCTGCCCTGATTTAACATCACATTATAGCAAGCCAGCCGCTAAGCTTCCTAATAGGAAAAGACACAGAGGTGTTTTCCATCAGTCTTGAATTGAGGTCATTTTTTTTTTTTTTTTGAGCAACAGCTTTGCTAATCCCCCAGAGCATCACTTCTGAAGCTTCTGATTGGTCCACATCAGCACTAAAGCCAAGGATCTGGGAAGTCACCACTGTCCCAGCTTCCAGCAGCAGCCTCAGCTGTTTTTCAACAGTGGTAAGGAGGCCAGAGAGCCTTATATCTCAAATTAGTGCCCAGAGGACAGAAGAGGTGACTAACTTCACAGTAAAAAAAAAAAAAATGGACATATAAATCTGCCATAGCCATCTGGAAATAGCTTGATGTGATGGTACCAAGAGTCCCAAAACACCGTATCTCACTTAGAATTTTAACATATTTCATTTTAACTTATCTCATTTTAACAGTACTAGTTTTAAGGCACAGGATACATGTCTAAATGCAAGTACACGAAAATGCGAACAGGAGGAATATGGATAACTGGTGTTAGGGCAATGAGATGATGGGTAATTTTTTTTTTTTTTTTTAATTTCTCCAAAGCTTTGATGATATGGTTTTGGTATTTTTAAAATGAAAATATTAAATTACTCAACACCTTTTCCCTCTTTGATTAAACAGCATTCTAGAAATGGCTACAGAGGACACATGGACAGATGCCACAACATAGGCCAGATTCCCAAACTCTGGATTTATTTTCCTGCAATTTCTTCTGGAGTGGACGGGCAAAACGCTAGAGTACAGAGCAGCATAAATTTACTCACAAGGTCATAAGATTTTGGGTGAAAAGGGAAAATGGTTTAGGGAAATGGCCTAGCATAGAATGGAACGTCAATCAACACTGTCCTCAGCTCCACAACTGTTGAGGCAAACCCCAAACCTAACTGGCACTGTTGGTCCAGGTCCCCCTTGGGCTACTGTAGTTACCTTCATAGCAGTTGGCCTGTAGGGGTGCGCTGCTTCACTTTGCAATACTGTCTTTGTCCTTTGAGTCCAAACCACTCATTGTCACGGAGTGGATTCCAACTGGATAGTGACCTTCTAAGGAGAGAGAAGTACCCATGGGGTTTTTAAGCCTTTGAATCCTTATAGAAGTGGACTGCCACATCTTTCTCTCGCAGAGTGGCTGATGGGCTTGAATTACCAACCTTTCAGTTAGCAGCTGAATGTTTTAACCATGGCATCATCAGGGTTCTTTTCCTTTGAGCAATCACAAACTCCCAGCCCCCACCACCCATTTTTTAGCAGAATTATAAAGAAGGAAGTTTATTAGACAGTTGAAGGTTAAAAAAATACAAAATCATGGAAATAAATGATATTATGGAAAATAATATCGTAATAAATGGTATTATGGAAAATAAAGGATATTATGGAAAATAATACAATATCCTTTATCGTAATGTAACTCAAATCTAACCACAGATCTACTTCCTGGGAACCCAGATTATAAATTTCTTTCCTAAATTTAGACTGCCATGGATGTCATGGAACCCCTCAGAGCCACTAACCTACCATCTCTTAGCAGACTTGGCCCCCGATTTCTTTTCTCTCTAGGAAGCTACCCTGAGAGATTCTGAACTGAGCTGCCCTTCAGCTTTCAACTACCCCACCCTTCTCTCACCTCTGGTCCCTTGGTCTCCTGGGAAAGGAAGGTGCTTCTCTATCAGGTCCAGAAGTCAACCTCTGGATTTAGACTTTCCTGTGCCTACCTTAAGGAGCTCTGGTTGTACAGGAGTTAAGGCCTTCATCTGCTAACCAGGTCAATGGTTCAAACCCACCAGCTGCCCCATGGGAGAAAAATTAAGCAGTCTGCTTTCATAAAGATTTATAGCCTTGAAAACCCTATGGGGCAGTTCTACTCTGTCATGTCTCTACGACACGGAATCGACTTGATGGGAATGGGTTTGGTTTTTGTTTTGTGCCTACATTATGGATAACTAACTCTGCCCCTTCTGTAGGTCTGTTTGAGTCCAGGTCTAGGTAAACGTCAGACTCGGCTTCTCCTACCTGGATGGCAACGTTTACCCACTTTGCATCTTCATTTCAAATATTCTAACCCATTGTCCCAATAAGTACAAACCTACCTGTCCAACTATATGTCCCTATTTAGAAAAAAAATACAATCCCCATACCTATGTGTTTGGTTAGTATCTGTCCCCATTCACATTAATGGACAAAAGGCCTCAAAGCAGCAGACAGCAATTTAGGAAGTCTATTCCTGTCTGTTCCACTGTCGGGCAAGCAGAAGACTAAATCCTTATCCTCCCCCAAAACCCCCAGCTCTCATCCTCCGCCTCTTCAGCTGGTCCTTCCCTAAATTCCCATTCTCCATCTGAGATGGCTCTGATTCAAAACTCATTTGCAGACCGGAGGTCACTGGTACACTGAGTGCAATGGGTGCTCTAGCAGCCCTGCCTCAGCTTACCCACTGCCCTCTCCCCAGGTATTCTCTGGGTCGCTTCCTCCGGGAGTGATCTTGTGCAGTCCTAGTCATTACAGTTTATAACACCAAAATACCTTAACCATATGGTAACAGTAACACATAGTAAGAGGAGGGTTGATCACTCACACACACACTTACGGGAAAACAAGTGGCTCGCTCTCTCAGGTAAGAAAAATATGAGTCTCCACCCCATCAGAGAAAGACAGAAAGAAACTCCCAGGATGCCCCAGGGTGCAGTTTCTTTTTCTCATGATGTGCTGTTAAGCACGTCAGCTGTTCCTGTTGCCGTGCAGATCACCCACCATCAGGTCACTGAGAAAGACAGCAGCAGTTGCTCACACAGATGCCAGGATTAGGAGATGGTGCTCTGTCAGCCCTGAGCCCAAGGAAGCCCCCAGCACACACAGGTGAGATGTGAGCAAGAGTGGCTGAGCGGGACCACGATGCATCTCGGTTGTGTGATACAGACGTTTTCTTCTTGGCAATGCAATTGTAGTGTCTTTTCTGTGAAGTTTGCAGTTTGGGGTTGCCTATCAATAAATTCTTGCCCCTTATATCACTTGTCTGGTGTCAGGGATTGGGCACAAAGACCTTACAGGATTTTTGTGGGCTTAAATAAGAATATTTAGGTTAAAGCTCTAGAAATAGTTGTGTGCAGCTGAAAGACAGTCATCATTTAATATCAAATTTCACATAAACTAAGAATCAATATCCTTATCCCAGATTTGGAACATAATTATATAAACACATTCCTTTTCTCCCAATCTCCAATACGCTATCTCCCCTGTTCCTTACCAGGCCTGGACAGGCACATTATTGATCATCATTAAAGAACTCTATTCTTTTAAAGCAGTTGTTATTTTCTAAAAACCAGCAACACATTTATTTTTAAAGGAAAAGCCACAAAATTACAATATAAGACAATAAAATAAATACTTAAGTAGAAAACAAAAAATAATGCATGAGAATACTTTAAAGCAGATGAAAGATGAATATAATATGCTGTACTAGATTTTATCTCTTTGATGATATAGTCTTTGACATTATAAGGTAATCCTCCTAATGATATGAGCAGCACTTAAATGAAATTAAAAGCAGCATAGACATTATCATTTGTAAAACTTGCCTTTTAGAACAGCAGAAAAACAGGCCGGGGTTCCAAAAGTACAGAGCTAAGAGGCATCTGAACACTAAATCATCAGCCTTCCCCTTAGCAGGGTTGCTATGGTGACAAGGCTGTAGCATAGCCTCTCAAAGCCTGCACTTCTGCAGTAAAAGCTTTCACTGCACACGTTGGATTTTTTGGGCACACACCCTATCATCAAATACAAAGACACACTGGAGGCAGCTTTATCTGAGTCATTTTCAAAGCAGAAGTTGTATCCATGTTCATCTTGTCCTAATGGGCCACTCATGTTACAGAATTCATTCATGCATGCATGCATTAATTCAACTACATATTGTGTGCCTACTGTGTGACAGGAACTGTATATAATCCCTAATGAAGACAGCCAAGTAAATGGAGAATTCTAATACAAGATCATAAGAGCTCTCCTGGGGTAAATAAACAAAGATGTCCTCAAGCAGACAGGAGGAAAACCTGACCCTTCTTGGGGGGCGGGGCAAGAGGTTTTCTGAAAGAAGCTGTTTATAAAATGAAACTTAGTATATCTTAGAATGAACAAATCTGTCCTAGAAGAAGTGCAGCTGGAATGCTCCTTGGAAGCAAGAATGGCCCGACTTCGTCTCACCTACTTTGGTCATGTTGTCAGAAGGGACCATTCCCTGTAGAAGGATATCATGCTTGGCAAAGTAGAGGATTAGTGAAAAAGGGGCAGGCCCTCAAGGAGATGGATTGACACAGTGGCTGCAAGGATGGGCTCAGGTTAGCAAGGATTGTGGGGCTGGCACAGGACCAGGCAGTGTCTCGTTTTGTTGTACACAGGGTCACTATGAGTCGGAGACAACTCCACGGCACCTAACGACAACAACATGTCTTCAGGGATTGAGGAGGGGTGGAAAGAGTGCAGGAAATGCCTAGCAAATGCAACAGACAAGAGGAAAAAGGGAGAGTGTGTAGAGGGAGGATGGTAAGGGTGGGTTACTGGGAGGGGAGAGTGTAGTTTAGAGGAGTGTAAAGAAATGAGATTGGGAGAGGTAAACAAAGCCAGATCATGAAAGGCCTTTGTGCCACATGGAAGAGATTGAATGTTACCTGGTGTACAGCCAACTCACTGCCATCGAGTCAATTCTAATTCATAGCGACCCCCTTTGGGTTTCCCAGGCAGTAAATCTTTATGGCAGTAGATTGCCCAGTCTTCCTTCTGTGGAGTGTCTGGTGGGCTTGAACTGCCAACCTTCTGGTTAGCAGTCAAATGTCTTAGGCACTACCCCCAAAGATCCTTAGGACAGCCAGCAAGCCATCAATGGGTTTTAATGGGGAAGCATGGCTTGATTTGGCCTTCTGAAATATCATTTTGGCTTCTGTGGAAAAACCGACTGGAGAGAGAAGAATAGGGGAGGGGTTAGAAACAAGATAACGCTAGTTAGGTAACTATGCAATAATACAGGATGGTGGTCTAGATTCTAAACATAAAGGTAATGACAGTGGAAACAAAGAAACCGATTGAAGACATTTATTAACAGGGAGGCTAGGAGATCACCTGGTGATTTATTTATACTGTGTGGGGAGTGAAACGAGGGAGACTGAGAAGTGAAGAATGACTCGGAGGTTTTTTGACTTGCACAAATCAATGAAGGGTGGTTATGCGATTAGGCACCCAGACTTAATTCTCAATTCCCAGTAAACTACTCCTCAAAAGCATTTTTTGACCTTAGTAGTTCATTTCCATCTTACAGTAGATGTCACAGGACATAATTTCAGAAATAATAGGTTATATGAAATATCCTAGATCAACATGTGCATGAGGCCCACATCTGAGAAGGCTATGGATACAAGAAAGTATAAATTAATCACCTCCTGCAAAGAAGGAACCCTAATATCATCGGAACCTCACTACTTAAGGGATCTGGGTAATTGTAAAGATAATAGTTCATGGAGCAAAAGCTCTTTTGGGGTATAGGAAGAAGGTAGATTAGATTCCACTAATACTGACTTGGGAGCTGTGGTGGCATAGTGCCTAAGGCACTTGACTGCTAACCAGAAGGCTGGTGGTTCAAACCCACCAGCCATTCCTTGGAAGGAAAATGGGGCAATCTACTTCTGTAGTGATACTGCCTCGGAAACCCAGGGAGGGGTTGCTTGAGTCGGGTCCAACTCAACCGCACACAACAACCACAACAAATAGTGACTTTGGGCTGCCTCTGATCTCATCCTATATGCTACCAGGCTGGAGAGGTGAGAACAGAGAAATACTGTTTTGAGAGGGGACAAGTGTTGAGGGTAGAGGTCCAAATACAATGTCCAAGGACCACAGTCCTTCTACATAAAACAGGATCAGACTTGTCATTGTCCACATTGCTGCTTAGAATATTCTCTAATTCTGAATAAAAGTAAGATATACATATTGAATTCTCTCATCAAATAAGATTTAAATATTGCAGTGTAATCAAGGTCCATAACCAGTTGATGAGTCCCCATTTGGCCAGGTTTTTGAGCTTTTTACAAACTGCCTGTATTAGAAACGGTTTTTGTTTGTCTGTTTTCTGCCTGTCATATAAAAGGCATCAGCCAATGTTGAATGGACGACCTGGGATAACTGCCGTTTGGAAAGTACTGTTCAATCAGCTGGGTACAGCTGTCTTAGCTAATCTTTACAGCGACTGTTTGAGGTTGGCATTTTTATTATTATCCCTCAATTTAACAAGGATAAACTTAAAGTTCACAGAGGCCAAGAACGTTAGGTATAGAGGCATGCTGAGATGAACCCGGTTTTCTGAGTTCAAGTGCAGAGTTCTTCCTACAGCAGTGTGCCTGGGGCTCATTCCTGGCGTCCGGCTGCGGGACAGACGGCTCTTCCTCGAAACAGCCAGGTTTCCCCGAGCCCGAGGAAACCGGCTGCCAACCGAAGGCCCTTTGGATGTAAATCTGCAAAGACTCTCCCACGACCGAGATGCTGCGTCCGTCCTGCAGCACTGGCTTGGCCGGGGTCTGGGGGAAGGGGGACCCGCACCATATTCTCGGGTGAGGTAACTGCCGGGCGCTGTACGTAGACCAACCCTGGTGGCGAGGCGATTAAGGCGCTCGCCTGATACCAGGAAAGGTTAAAAGGTTTTAACCCACCAGCCGCTCCGGGGAAAAAAAAGGAGCAGTCAGCTTCTGTAAATGGAAGCCTTAAAAACCCTATGAGGCGGTTCTACTCTGCCCCGTAGGGTCGCTACGAATTGGAACCTACCCGATGGCAATGGGTTTGGTTCTGGTTTTGGTGCGCTGACCTAAAACCGACTGGCAGGGAGGGGCTGTGTGGGAGAAACTTTCCCTCTTTCTCCATCTTGGCTCTCAGCGATGTCGCAGCTCTCCTCAGCTCGTCCTTCCGACGCGCCCCCCGTACAAACCGTTTGCAAGCTGCACACACGGAGCAGAGGGGACCCCTACGGGCTGGAGATGCTCCTCGCCTCCGCTCGCTCCCTTCGGCCCCAGGCTCGGCAGACGG